GCTTCCTACCCCATGGTGGTTACATCTCGACTTCTGTGTTTCTCCTTCCCAGAGTCCTCCTGGACTCCTAGTCCCACCTATCTTGGTTCCCTATTGGCCAACAGTGCTTTATTGACATATACACAGGATTTCCCCCATCAGACTGCAAAGAACGACTCACATGGAAAGACACAGTGATGGCAAACTCATCTTGTTTTGTGTTGTTCCTCAGACATCTGCAGATGCTTTAGGCAGAAGCAGCTTCTAAGTTCTCATTAGAATTCTTTAATCTTTTATAACCTTTATATTTACTTCGTGTGTGTGGGTGTTTTGGAAGCATATCTGCCTGTGTGCCACTTGCATGTGAAGCTCCCAGAAGCCAGGAAAGGGTGTTAGATCTCCCGACACATGATTTTGTGATGCCATATAGGTGCTGGGAATCCAACCCAGGTCCTCTAGAAGAGCATCCAGTGCTCTTGCCTGCTGAGCCCTCTCTCCAGCCCCTTAGTTATGGTTCTTAAAATAATGATGACACAAACATCAGCAGCTTCATGCAGCACATGGCTCACAGAAACAGCTGCATGAGTCCAAAGCTTTATGTTTTAAACTTGTTTGCATTCATAGGTTGTTCAGATGGCTTATTTTCTCAAAACTTTTTTTTTGGGTGGGTCAGGGAAAAATCCCAGAATGACATCAAAGCAGACCTAACAGCCAGACATGCTTCTATCAAGCTGGTAAATGCTTATTATTAGTAAGCCTCTGGGGAGTTTTAATAAGAATAGTGATGGATGTTTACAAGTTGAAAAACATTCCAATTCATTAGATAATTGTTTTATCTGTTTTCTGAAAAATACACAAGAAATGGATTTTTAATTTTAATATGCATATCAATCACCCAGGAAGCTTGTTAAATGCAGGTTTCCTCTCCCTGCAGAAGAAAGTCTCCTGGTGGTGGGCAGTAAGGAATTCAGGCTTTTGTACATTCTTCAGTGGACTTTGTTGAATGGAGCTATGCTCTACCCTCTTCTAGGAACAGGGGAGATAACTTAAATTGTTTATAAATACAGCTGCTTCAATGCATATAAACACCATATTCTGGAAGAGCATTTTGAGACAAAAATTGCATTTTATAGAAAGTTAACTAAAAATACATATATGCTTTAAAGTAAAAAAAATCACTTTTGCATAGACTTTCTATGTCCATATTGTCTAAAGTTAGTACACTAGTTTCAAAAACAAAAGTGAATTATATGGAATAAGAAGTCCAAAATAACACTATCAGTAATTAAGTGCCTCTAAAACTATGGTTCTCAATCTGGGGGCTAGGGGGTCAAAGAAGGCTTTCACAGGGGTCACCTAAGACCATAAGAAAACACAGATACTTACATTGCTAATCATAACGGTGGCAAAAAACACAGTTATGAAGTAGCAACGAAAATAATTGTATGGTTGGGGTTCAGCACACCGTGAGGAACTGTATTAAGGGTCACAGCATTAGGGAGGTGGAGAACCACTACTCTAAAGTCACTTTGTAGCCATATTTTAAAACCCTGGTAATATTTATGCTCAATAACATTTCCTCAGAGAAATGGGTTAACCTCGGCAAAGACAGTATGTGTGCTAGATGGGGTTTCTAAATAATAGTTTATACATGGATGGCAGATTTGGAAACCCTGCAACTCTTGCGGTGTTGCAACAAACTGTCAGTTGAGAAAAGAAATTAAAACAACTGCCTGCAGATGTAGCTCAGTAGCAAAATTCTTTCCTAAATGCATAAAACCTGAAGATTGATCTCCACTACTGTAAAAACCATGCTTGGTGGTTCAATCCTATAATCCTAGCATTTTAGGGTCTGAAGTAGGAGAACCGGGGGTTGATGATCGTCATCGCCCACATAGAGAATTTGTGGTGATATTTCGTTTATGATCTAACAAAGCTTGCCTGAAGATCAGGGTGCAAAGCTAGCCTGAGCCATAGAGGCCAGGCTGTGGTGCCACACACTTTTAATCCCAGCACTTGGGAGACACAGGCAGATGGATTTCTGTCAGTTCAAGGCCGTCCTGGGCTACATGAGAGTGAATCAGTCTAAAAGAGAAACAAAACTCACACCTTTAATCTCAGCACGAGGGAGGTGGAGACAGAAGTCGTATGGCTGGGTGGAGAAAGGAATGTAGGACAGGAGGAGACAGGACCACATTGCAGTCTCAGTGAGTACGAGCAGCAATGCAGTCAGGAGCAGTCTGAGGTTTGGCAGATTGCCCCTTCGGTCTGAGCATTGGTAGATGTGAGAAGTCTCCAGTGGCTGGCTGATTTGCTTACCTGATCTTCAGTGTGAACCCCAATATTTGTCTTTGGGTAGCCTGAGCTATGATATCCTTTCTCAAAACAATCATAGAACGACTTTTTAAAACTTCTTACATGGTTTTAAAACTCTTCACTTTCTGTGCAGTTAACATTGGCTCATCCCACTTAAGTCTATGGACAAAGGTCACAGGGACCCTTCATCCCAAATACAGTCCATGCTTTATCCTATATATTTTCCCTTTACTTTTTGTTATGAAAGTACCAGTTTTTTTTAACCAGGATCAGTGCATATTCTAGAACTGTTTTTGTTGTTTGGATGTGGCAGGCACATTAGGACTGTCTGTAATGGTGCTATTTAAGACTACAGAGTCTTGATCAGTCCCAAGACCCCCTGAATCTGGGTGTCAGTGAGGAGGCCTAGGGAATCTATTGAGCCTTGGGCAGCAGATCAGTACCCATCCCAAGTATACACACGGACTTTGGACTCCTATAGAACAATGTGAGGTGCACTCTCACCCTGAACTCTTGGGGAAGGGTCTAGGCCCTGCCCTATGTGAAATGACAAACTATGGACACCCCCATGGAGGGCCTCACCCTCCCTGGGGGAATGAGGGGATAACGGGGGGGTTGGGGGGAGGGCACGGGAGGAGGGGAGGAAATGGGAGAGGGACCTGGAACTGACTTGTGAAGCAACCTCGTTTCTTATCTAAATTTAAACTGGAAAATAAAATAAAATAAAAAAAAAAGACTACAGAGTCAACTGAAGATCGGTGTAAGCAGGGCATCAAACTACAGCTTAACTGATAGATCGTAGACTTTGCAAGCTAAAGTATTATGCGTAATCTGAAATGCTGGAGGCAGAATGGCCTTGTAGGTACTGTAGAGGAGGATGCACGGAGAAGAGTAGAACCATATGTGTAAGGCCTTAATAAAAAATGTTTTCAAATTTAATGACAAAAAATACAGATTTCAAATCTAGAGCTAAAGTAAGGATGCAGTTCTAAATCAATGACCAGTCACGGCACATCATCATTTAGTGTATGGAAAGTTGTAGCGGTACTTAGTCTTACAACAACTGACTGAACAGTGCTGTGTATTATTTGTACGTGAAATTAAAATGTGAAATGGAAAAAGTTAATGTCTCAAATGCTCCTGTGAAACTGAACAGTTGGACTATAATGCCCAAACCAAGGGTGCATGGATGATGTTAATGGGGGCCAGGTCAAAGCTGAAGAAGTGACAGCTGTTCAGTGTCTTATGAGGCACATGCTCAGACCACATAGGTAAGACCTTAATTTGGACTGGTTATATAAGGCAGGCGCAGTAATGATTAGTTATTTTGTGATACCCCCACAAGCTCATTGAATTAAACAGAGGGGATTGGGGTATTTTCTTGAGACACAGCTCAGCCCTTCTCAGTGGCAGTCATGCTTGAAGAACAGCTGTCACGGGACAGATTGGGTATTGGAAATGCTCCCATAATTTACAACTAAGAGACTCCTTCTGCTTGACTACAGTTTCTTTCTCTTGGTGATCCCCTGGATTTTTAGAGGAATAGCTTTCTCATTCAGCAAGTGTAGCTTCTGAGACATTAGAGGAGAGTACCAGAAGCCTCGGCTATTCTGCAGTTCCTTCTTTGAAGGAGAGCCATGCCCTTCTTTCTAACATCCACATTCTAAATATTAAGATCTGTGGTAATAAGAAAGACATGACCCTGGTTTAAAGGAAGGGTTTTCAACAGTCCACTTCCTTCTTTTAGGAATTTGATAGTTTAAATGCATGGAAGCTGTGGCTGAATTTGCCAGGTTATTGTCTGAACCTATCACTTTATATAAACCGACTTAAAATAAAGAGATGCATCGCTCCTGAGCTGATATTTCTGAATTGTAAAATAGGGATGGTGGTAGTGTTGTCATGTAGATCAACGTGAATAAGGTCAACCATGTGGAGTCCTAGTCAGAACTAAGTACCTGGAAGTTCTTAGGATTAATCTGTATTTGTAGGTACATATGTTTTCATATATCATTAACTAAAGAAGTGGAATCTTTAATTTTGAAAAACTAGCTTTGTAACATATCACCTTTTTCAAGTTCCTATTTTAAGCATAGGAAGATATGTATATGTTAACTGTCTCCATAACTCAGTTTGTCTCCTTCAGTTCCTACTGGTTGAATTTGCCCTCCACCCAGATTTACTAAATTTGGGAGTCTCTGCCTTCAGTGTGCCATTGTACACTGCAAGTATTCTTTTCATGTTCACATCACATGATACCCAAAACACATATAGAAATTGGCAGCTACATTTGTGTGGCTCCTGAATTTCTACCAGTGTAATCTGCCTTATATGTGCAGTTATAAACTGTGTTTTAAAATTTCCAGGGCATAAGCTATTGTCAAAATTGGAGCTATTGTCATAATTTCGTTTTCCTTTTTCAGACTGTTGTCATTAAGTATTGTTATGAGATAATTTTCATGGTTTCTTCACAGTTTCGCCCCTTTCACTCAACATAAGGCAAAGCTTTGTCTATATGTGTGCAAAGACAAGGGTTTGAATAATCTCACAGTTCCAGCCTGGTTTGCTTTTGAGAATCATCGCAAGGGACATCCCCAAATACACTGTAATCCCTTTTGGTGGACAGTGACCAGTGCCTTTTGGATTCAGATATATGTCTGTGATAGTTCAGGTCACTTTCTATTTCTGTTTCTCTCTTTCTGCAGTTTATTGCTTTTGCTTCTTTATTCTTCATCTTGGTGTCCATCACAACCTTTTGCCTGGAGACACACGAAGCTTTCAATATTGTTAAAAACAAGACAGAGCCAGTCATCAATGGCACAAGTGCTATTCTCCAGTATGAAATCGAAACGGATCCTGCCTTGACGTATGTAGAAGGAGTGTGTGTGGTGTGGTTTACTTTCGAATTTTTAGTCCGTATTGTTTTTTCACCCAATAAACTTGAATTCGTCAAAAATCTCCTGAACATCATTGACTTTGTGGCCATCCTCCCCTTCTACTTGGAGGTTGGACTTAGCGGACTGTCCTCCAAAGCTGCTAAGGATGTGCTTGGTTTCCTCAGGGTGGTTAGGTTTGTGAGGATCCTGAGAATCTTCAAGCTCACGCGCCATTTTGTAGGTCTGAGGGTGCTTGGACACACTCTTCGTGCAAGTACCAATGAATTTTTGCTTCTGATCATTTTCCTGGCTCTAGGAGTTTTGATATTTGCTACAATGATCTACTATGCTGAGAGAGTGGGAGCTCAGCCTAATGACCCTTCAGCTAGTGAGCACACACAGTTCAAAAACATACCCATTGGTTTCTGGTGGGCTGTGGTGACCATGACTACCTTAGGCTACGGGGATATGTACCCGCAAACATGGTCAGGGATGCTGGTGGGGGCCTTGTGTGCTCTGGCTGGAGTGCTGACAATAGCCATGCCTGTGCCTGTCATTGTCAACAATTTTGGAATGTACTACTCCTTGGCAATGGCAAAACAGAAACTTCCGAGAAAAAGAAAGAAACACATCCCTCCTGCCCCTCTGGCAAGCTCACCTACGTTTTGCAAGACAGAGTTAAATATGGCTTGCAACAGTACCCAGAGTGATTCATGTCTGGGGAAAGAAAACCGACTTCTGGAACATAACAGATCAGGTAAGGCACGATTTCAAACATGTACCATGAAAGACGTTATAGATCAGGGTATCCTATAGGTAGAAGGGAGCTGTGCTTATTTGCTGTAAATATACTTGAGTTTTCAGATTAACATGCTCAGAAAATGTGTGTTTATGTAGATAATGTAGATAATGAGACTGTAGCATCTCTGCATGTAGATCTGCATAGCAGGTCGGTGGGGCTTTCTAAAATTGGTGGGAATGACCTCTGCTGATGGTGCCAATATTTTCTTTTGCCCATTTGTTGCTTCTGTGCCAATGTTTCTTTGTTTATCTGCATGATGTGATGGTATGATCTTAACCATTTTCCACTCTTCGTTCTCAAAATGTTCACCTCCATATCATTTGGCTTGGTGTGTTTGTCTCAGTTTTACCTCTGCCGCATGGTACTCTGCATCTCAGCCTAATTCGTGAGAAACAGTTACTTAAGGGGAATAGATGCTTGCACATCAAAGACCTAGACACTAAAGAGGTGATGTGGAAGACAGATATTTCAATAGGAAAGCTCATTATTAGCAATATTCTAGACTGACTAAAATTCCATTGTTTTAAAATTAAGTAGTATAATGCAACCTAACACTTAATGATACAAAGTTACATATAATGTAAAAAAAAAAGTAAATACCCACTATTGTTCAGTGCACAGCCAATCTACCAATCTACCATGGTAACCAATGACAAGTCCCATTTCTTTTGGCAATCATTTCTAATTGCATTTTGCCTTGGTCTCTGTTCTCTTCTAGAACTGAATTTTGAATATTTTTCTGCTTGGCATTTGCTGGAATCCTGCTCCCTGTGTGCTATAGATAACCTACAGTTGATTGATTGTAACTTGAGAGTCAGTCTGTCCAAGCCAAGGCAGAGGGAATTCTTGTTTGTCTATTATGTCCTAGTAACACACAATATTTTTCAGATTAACAATTTAAGTAGCTTCCTTTGAAATTTAAAGTAAATGTACAGCACACTTTTAGATAGACTTTAACTATTTCTTATATGAAAAAATGAGACTGTTGATGTTCTCATGTCTCATTTAGAAACAAGGACCCCCTTAGCTTCGCAAAAATTTTATTAAGTAAACAGAAAATTTAAAGAAGTGACTAGAGAAAAACTGCTGTTCAAAATTTTCATTGGCAGTCCTTATATTCATTTAAGAATTCATCTGCAAATTCCATCAGCACCTATCTTACAACTATTAAGAATATCTACCTGAAAGGGGAAACTTAGCTAAGGTTATTATTCATTACTTACTCTCAGTGTATTTATGTAGGAGCCTTAAGAAAGGCACAGGCAAAGAGGACACATCTTCATCTCTGTCCAGCATTGCAATGTCAAGCTAGTGTACAGGTTGATACAGATAAATAGGAAGCCTTGGCAAGCATGCAGAAGTAAACACCACTTCCACCAACAAGGGAGATCTTGCTGTACGATTTGCTCAAGATGATTTTGTGTCTTCAAAGTGGGATGGTAGTTATGTGCTGTAGGATTATTTTATTCAAGATTTTTTTGTTGGGGAATTTAACTTCAGAAGGGTAGGGAAAGCATGTCTCTATTAACTGCAAGACCAGTATTTCTTGAGAGGTTTCCTTAAAGATATTATACTCTTAGCCATCTCCATTCATAGTATCTGAATAACATGTAACAAATTACATGGTAAATTTGTATGAAGTCATTACTGCATTTATTTTGAGTTCATACCACCTGTGTAAAAGCTAATTATCCATGAGATTGATTCCAAAAATGAATCAGACTTTTGTAGGGAACACTTCTCCCCTTTTCGATACATTTCCATTTTACTCCGTGTAATTTTTTCTTTATTGTGGTGAATACTGTGATGTGATTACTGTGTTTTGTATATTGAGTGACTGGCCTACAGGTATCTGTTGTAAACTCTCTGTACTGTCTCATTTCCTCATCCATCACTGTCTGTCAATGGGCATGGTGCTGTGACCAGTGTTATCAGGTGACGACAGTACAGGAAGTGAGCCGCCATTATCACCTCCAGAAAGACTCCCCATCAGACGCTCTAGTACCAGAGACAAAAACAGAAGAGGGGAAACGTGTTTCCTATTGACGACAGGTGATTACACGTGTGCTTCTGATGGAGGGATCAGGAAAGGTAGGCACGCATTTAATCAAATCGTAGTAGGTAACTTTGCCAATAAGTAAGAGTGACGTAAATTCTCATTCATCATTTTCCAGGGAACTCTGCATGTGGTATTCTTTTAGTCTCTCCATCACATCTTCTCTCATTATTAAGCACTTTATAATACCTATTATGACAGACTACTTAATTGTTACATGTAAAAGGCATCACCCTTTATTCTTAATACTTTCTTCATCCTTACATTTACCATTTGTCTATGGGTAGAATTTTAACAACAGGTAAATGTCATTAAGTCAGTCGTTAATTATTTTGGCACAATGCTTTTACCAGCCTTTAAAAGTTATCTTTTGTTTTAAAACAACACTCATTAAATGGCTCTATAACTATGTTTGTTAAGTAACTAATAGCCATTAAACAATTGGTAAGGCATATTCTTTTTCAAATGGAGGAGTTAAATACCCTTTAAATACCTTTCCCAATAACTGCCCAGATAGCTAATACCAGTAGCTTCCTTGACTGTTTCAATGAGCAAGAGCCTCTGCTCTGCCATGTTCATTTTTTAAAAATATCACTTGAAAGTTCACTTGTGATTAAAAATACACACATTTTTCTGTAGACCCAATAAAATAAATCCATTAATTTTTTCAGTAGATACTAAAGACTACTTAACATGAAGGAGATGATAATTTTTTTTGATGAGATTAAAATATTGAGCAAGTGTCTTTGTTAAAGAACAGGTAAAGGTATGTAATGATTTATTAGCCTCATTGGCTAAATCTGAACAGAAACTTCTCTATTTTGTACACTGTATTCTGTAACTCATGTCCATATTTGTCATGCAAAATTGTTTTTCTAATTATTCAATGTTTTAAACTTAAAATGTGTGTTTTGTGATGTCTTCCTTAAAAAGTATCTCATAGTTCATACTTTCATTTCTTCTGTACATTTATTTCTTCTCTGCTTCGGTATTTTTGAACACTGAAAGCAAAGATAGAGGACTCTTCATTGTGTTTTCATTTTTTGCTGAGTAATATTTCAAATAGTTCATCATCCCAATCATTTCCATCATTTCCATGTGTTCCTTGAGCAAAAATGTGTTCCAGTCTTTTGAATGGGTTTCTTTATTATTTTACATTTATATCTGTGCTAGAAAGTTTAAATGTTTTATGAGGATAGCTAAAAATCTCTTAGTATTTGAGCAAATATATGTGTATACATTAGATCATAATATAGTGTGTTCAAAATACTTTTCTAAGGGCAAATAAAACTTGATAAACTTTATCTTTGTATACATGCATGGATATATGTGTGTACACACATCTATATGTATATGAGATTAAACATATATTCATTTTTATGCATCTTTCATTAAAGTATTATATGCAGTGCTGATACAAGGGTAATGTGTTTAAAGATCTTGACACAAATTTTCTTCCCCATTAAATAATACTTGCTACTTCTGTTAAGAAATGCCTGAGAAAACCTTTGGATACTATAAGATAGTATGTTAATATAAAATTTTATTGTAAAATTACAAAGCTTTATGAACAAAGTCATTAATAAGGTATTTATTTTGCAAGGGAACATATATGCAGTTTTATTTCACAAATGAAAAATTTATTTTTTAATGACTTTTTTTTGTAAACCAGTTAGCCCACGTGAGTTTCTTGTGTTCCATCATTTCTTACCACACCAACTCTCCCACACCCTTGTTCATTTCTTTCATAACTATATGTTCTTTCTATGTGGATATTGTTTCTGGAAACACTGAACCGTTTTGACTTTTGGCTTCTGTTGTTACAGAAAGTCATTCATTGGCCTTCCTCTTTCTTTTACGTAGTATATAGAGTTATTTTATTCTACCCAAATATTTACTTTCCATAGAAGCTATTAAATTTTCAAGTTGATTTTTCTATTTATTTTATTTCAAAGTTCAAAATATTCTTCCTATATAAATTTTTAATACAAATAAATATGAGAAGATTCCATAATGGTTTTAGAGAAAGAATTCATTTAAAGAGTAGCCTTCCAATATTTCAGACCTTTGTGTTTCTTTACAACGCTTTTAAGTAGCGTATTATTCAAATAAAGCCTTCACACATTGTATATGTATATATAAAATATGTTATGTATAATATAATAACTGATATGTATAAACACTGATATAAATATAAACACGCATACGTATGAAACAGTGTTATATATAACAACACTCATATAAAACACTGATATATATAAACACACATATACATACATAAAACAGTCATATATAATATAACACTGGCATATACATATATAAACAATGATACACACACACATATATATATATAAACACACACATGCATATTTAAATAATGTTGACATTACTCCAATTGTGCACATGGTTCTAGGAACTGAATAAGATATGAGTTCTATATTCTGATGCTGCTTCTAAGTAGGTTTACCATTGTTTATTTTCATGAGTAACTTAGATTTTATATTTAAATCATCATTGATATTTTCAATCACTCCAGGAAAAGCTTAATTAAGCAGAAAATGTATCAGAATTTTTAATCAGAAATATTTAGAGTAGGTAAAACTAAAGATATATAAAGAGCATCTAATTTTACTAATTAAACACTTGTTGCTAAATGAGGAGAGCTCTTTCAAATGATATTAAATTACTGATATTAAAAATAAAAGGATCTGTAAACAAAATAAGAAATATTTACTTTAAAATCTATAATTTAGAAGAACAATTAACATTTAAAATAGCAATCAAGATTCATCTATCACTGGGTGGTTAAAATAAAGTTATCTTACAGGTCATTACATTCCTGAGAGTTGTATAAAGGGCTTGGGATACAAAGTACACTTCTGATGCATTGACACCAGTAATTAACATTCATCAATGTTTATAATCTAGTTTACATTTTTTAGGATACATAATCAACTTCTACTGCATAAGAAAAATCACTTTCTCTGTAATTTTCAAAGTCATAATATCAGTCACTTTAGAGAAGAGCGGTAATAATGAAATTACCATGCACATGGTTTCTATGTGAGGATAAATTACTTTCGATTAAAAAAACGAAGACATACTTTCATTAACTATCACAGCATCTAGCAACATGGAATGAAAACACACCCTCTTCGTTGTTTATTTATAAAGGATGCTAAAAGAACAGAGACAGGCAAATGTGTATTCAACAGAAAATATATCCCCCCAAACCACTATTATAATTAATGGGTGGTGAAATATCTATTCACAAAACCATTTAGAAGACACCCAGTCTGCTGGAAATCAGTGTGTATGCATGTGGGTAGGGGGTATTCATTACTCTCCTCTCCTGTCTATCCAGTGTTAGCCTGTGACAAGGTTGTTATGGTGTTTGTCTTGATGCATATTTGTCTTGGCCTCCCCTATGTCAGAGTAATAGGTAAATTACTAAAGTCCCAATTAAAAGCAGTAGAGGTAGTTACAAAGGACTCTTTTTTTCTCTTCATCCCACATTCAGCCAGCACACTAGAGCCCATGGAGAGCACTACCCAGTCTAGAGGAGACACAAGACAAGAAGCTCACTGGGATTGTGTGCATTTACTCAATTTTGGTTGCCCTACAGGAAGTTCATTTCCAGCCCTATAACTGTTCAGTGGAACTGCCAAAACATTTGTTTCCAAAGCTGTGTGATAGGACTCCATTTTCTTTCAAATGTCTTGCTTTCTACTTCCCATCACACTTTATATGAGATGCACCCCAAACTCATTCAACTGCCTCCAATACTCTACTGAAAATGCTACAACATGTGAGTCCCTCCAAAGGTCACAGGATGGGGTAACTAGCTGAATGGTTAAGAAAAAAAAAACAACCAAGTCAATATTCTTGAAAAGCTGTTTTATTATCTAAGTACATATCTATAACTAACAATACATTAGGTGGAAAAATTTGGACTAAGATAAAATTTGCCTCAATTTCTAGAGGGTGAGGGAAAACGATGAAGTCATCTGAGAACATCAAATTCAGATTTATTTCACTGAAATTATGACTCAGTTTACATTTCATTTGCTTCTTTTTTATTTAATTTTATTTTGTTACCTAAGGGATTGGTAACATGCTTTTCATCCTGTATCACCTGGATAATGGCACCAAATGCCATTATTATATGAATCACCCTTTTAAATTTGTAAAACTCAAAGAATACATATATTGGAAACAAGTGTACACTTCAAGTTAAGCATGCTTCAATTGCTACTAAAACTAAAATTAAAAAAGAAAAATAGCTCATGTATGTTTAATTTTTAGAAACCCATCCTGAACTTTTTAAACTGTTGAGTCTGTAATCTTATTTAAGTTGCTTTGCCAAAGTTTTAAAAATTCTTGTAGTCTCTATGTCCAAATTAGTTCAATGCTAAATATAATCTGGACATAAACATACTTTGGAATATTGTAGCTCTAACTTGTGATAGCTGATATAATAGTTTCAGAATGCCAAATACAGTGAATTTCAGTTTTCAGGTATATGAATTGTCTCAATATTGAATCCTCTGCAAATGGTTTGAACACAAAAATATCCCTTTTGATTACCCTGCACGGTATTGTTTGTCTCTGTCTATTCTCTTGTTGAATTCAACTGATGTCTGTGCATTTTTTCATAAAAGGATATGAAAAGTCCCGAAGCTTAAACAACATAGCGGGCTTGGCAGGCAATGCTCTGAGGCTCTCTCCAGTAACATCACCCTACAACTCTCCTTGTCCTCTGAGGCGCTCTCGGTCTCCCATCCCATCTATCTTGTAAACCAAACTGCATCAACCGGCTAAATTATATCAATACAAGTACTGTTTACCCTGTAATGGAAATAATTAAATGTAGAGTTTCTCCAGGCTCCATTAATACAGTCTAAATTCTGCATGGTATTACTATTTGAAGTCAGAAATGCTACTTGAGTAGCTAAAACATCTTATTCTGGCTTTAAAGATGATCTGAAGTAGTGCTACTACTCAGTATGAATTGCCCCCAATTTCCTTTTGCAATACAGTGACCAATAGTGTCAGATATTGGCCAGTACACTAATGCATAACCATATCTTCAGGGAGATATACTTAAATAGTGTGCTTCTAAATGCCAACCACTCCACTGGACTTTCATTTCTTGTGACTCCAAACCGTTCTGAAGATGTCTGGGATTCTATCTAGATTGCACACAACATGACTTTGGTCAGTTCATTTGCATGGACCATCTTGTCTGTAATCACCTGAATACAATGTTGTAGAGTCCTGGGACTGGATGGCTCAGGATATGTGCTCTTGCTTCAAACCATCCTGCCAATGTGAAAGCACTGGTCGCCTGTTCTGCATGTTGAATTGTGGGGCAGGGAGGGTGCCCTTCTCCTTGGTATTTCCCTCCTATTCTTTGATAGAAATATTTGTTTTAAATAGCTTAATTTCTTGATTGATTAATTTGTCTTTGAAAATGCTGTATTGGTGTTCTGAATGTTTTTGGTTGTTTGTACACACAGATAACTGCAAAGAGGTTGTCATTACTGGTTACACGCAAGCCGAGGCCAGATCTCTTACTTAATGACTTGGGGAAGGCACAAAACATGACAGAAAGGTAACTGCTAGCCAGGCTTGCATTGTTTAGCCAGGAATTGCTGCTTGGTAATAGAGCCATTTCCCCCGCTATAAGTCCTACAATTTGTCATTATTTTCAGAGATAGAGCACTAAATATTACCCAAAGGTCTCGTGTGTTTTTATTTATGATTTTGTGTGAACATCAAAGGTTACTGGTGTTCAATGGAGGATTGCTTGTTTGTTTGTTTGTTTGTTTTGGAATAGCCTTAAAATTTGCATCAAAGGACTAACCAGACTTTTCATGCTGTGTTTAATCAGGTGCTTTGTCCTATGTCTTGTTTCTGTCTGTCTTAGCTCCCTGTCTTAACCGCATACGCCACCTGTCTCCATAGAGGGTAGACGTGCCCTGATGGGCTCTTTAAACTTAGTACTGATCTCCCTACCTCCTGCCCCCTGTCTTCTTTGCTACTTGGAGCAGCCTCTCTGCTTTGTATATACATTAATGATGCTCTGTAGACTACCTAAATTACTAGGCACTGTGAATCTTTTTGGATGAGCAGGACTGAAGCAGCAATCTCACCATAGGACTTGGTTGCCTACTGCAGTGTTGGTTTTTACTACCTAGCAACCAGCATTCATCACTACATTCCAGCAATCATCCCTAGGGAGTCTTCTGCAGTCTGGAGGGAGGATAGTCTGTTTACACATCCCTACCAAATGCCATAGCAATAGTGTGTCTGATATTTTGGGTGTGTGAGGGAAGAAAAATGCCATAATATAATTGCAGCATAGACAACACTACTTTTGATGCATTGATCCTTAAGATTGTTGATGAATTCTTAATCCTCTTGTTTATTTTTGATAGGAAGACAATTGTCAGTTTTGCTATTGGCTAAAGATATGTGTTATTCCCAAGCCATAGAGCATGAGCTGCATGTCAGAGATCGTGTACAACAATGCATTTACCCAGACGTAGCTATCTGAGATTTAGAGATACTGTGATTCTTTTGATAACACCACACATAGAATGCTATAACTACTCAGAGGTTTATGGTAAAGAATTAATATGCTGTCTGGTGCTGCTGTTATTGACTGCAGTGTTGTACAGAATTTATCATGGATTTTTGACTGCTGAAAAAGGGGCAGTGAGATTTAGCCATACCAAGGATTGTACTGGAAACTTCTGATACCGAATGTGCCCTGATGTGACCAGTTTATGCTCAGAAGAGGTCCCGCACCTTCGTGAGGCATTGAAAGTTTGTAAAGGAATGGAGGCTGGAATTGAAATGGTGCTTGCCATGGAAATATTCTGCTTTTCGACTGACCAGTGTCCAGGAAAGAACTGTAAATACCAACGTGTGCACGGGTCAAGCGCTCTGACAATCTCATAGCACAGGAAGCCAAGTTTGTGATCAACATCTTTGAAGCTTCAAGTAATGCTCACGAGGCTTTGAACGGCTCCTCTCCGGCTCATGGTGGTTTTGCTGAGAATTACAGAAGCAGCGAATCTGATGTAGTATAGGTCTGTTTTCGTTTCTCTTATTTGTACATTACGTGCTGGATACACAAACACTGACTGCCTCATTTTCTTGCAAACCACTTATATATCAGCTTGTCAACTGTGTTGTAGACTTTTAGTATCTCCACATAAAATCTAATTCATTTTTAGTCATGTATTCATTTAGTTCTGGAAAAGTGTTACTATCTACAAGAAATTTACCAACAGTATTCATAGTTTAAGTCTTTTGTCATTGTTACCTCAATTATAAATATTAAAATATAAATTCTGGCAATGAGAATATTTTTTTATTAAATGATCAAGGAAAATGTCAGTATATAGTAGAATATTATCAAATTATATCCTAAAATGTCTATTTTGCATAAAAGAGATATTCTTCAATCAATTCCTTTTTTGTGAGCTTTGTGGCTAATGAAGCGTGTATTTGTCTTTAACACTGCTGTAGCTGAAACTGTATAAGAGTTTTTCATCTTGCTTAATCAATGTTTCCAGAATTGACTAGTTGCCCTGGGATTCTGAATATACTATATAACCTAATTATGAACTCCCTGTATTGTGTACCTTTTGTGACATCTCAAGGTGCATGCCTGACCTTGGTGATAAACCAATGGACGTGTTACTAGCTTAAATGAAGAATAAAAGGCAAATCAGCTGGGGATAAACTTGAATCCTATCTGATTAAATTATTCCTATCACTCTCTGGACTTCTTTCTTTGTGTGTTACTATTTCATCAGGCTTTTACGATTGTCTGCTTCCTGGTTCCATCACACACACTCATACATCCCAATGAAATTGGGAATAAAGGGCTTTTAAAATACCTAACGCTCTCATTTTCATTCACATCTTAGAAAGATAGCTAATACTTTCCTGTTCTTTATGCCTTCTTGCTTCCCCTGTCTAAATTCCTCCTAGAAGAGTATAAAATCACTAATTAGTGTGGTACTCAATATTTATAGGAAATTTTATGATCATTATAAAAATTTAGCTATATTTTATATTTTCCACAGCTCTGGGGGCAAATACTTTTGTTTTAAGTTTAGTAGCAGTACAGTTAAGGACCTGGAAGGCACAACTGTTCATTTACATTTTTTAGTCACAATTGCTCCTGCAGTAGCTTCCTACATTTTAAATATTTACTGAACTTCTTGGTGTAAATTCTACTTTAAAACAGGCCTTCTGTCTTTAGATCTCTGTTTCCTACATGGGACATACAAAGCTGGCATTCCAGTCATAGAGCAGGAATGCGCATAAATTTACCATCCACAAATCTGTCATGCCTGCCTATGGTAGGAGGGGAAAGGAAAGACAGAAAAAACACTGAGGCAGAAAAGAATGTGGGCAAATCCAAACTTTTTCTATAATGTATCAGCATGCAGTTTTTGTCTTCAAAGCTGTTCAAGCTAATGATTAAGGAATTTCTTAGAAGCTGAGCCTAGCAAAGGGGCATTTGCAAGTGGAATTACCTGTGAAAGGTTATTAACATTTTTTTACTAACAAACAATGATATCAGGTTGAAAGTTTTACTGTGAAAAGGAGTGCTGTGAAAGAAAGAGAAGGCATACACTTATATAGGTAGTAATTACCACCAATTCTTATTAAAAAACAGGAATATGTCATCATGACTCAAGAGTAAAGATATTCATCTTATTTTTAAAATAAATCACAAATGGGGGAGTGTGAGATATCTCTGAGGGTAAAGGCTCTTGCCTTCAGGCCTGGCAACCAGAGTTTAAGCCCTGAACCTACGCAATGGAAGAGGAACTGACTCGCTACGTGTCCACTGACCTCCACACATGCAGTGTGGCACACACTCATATAAATAAAAAATGAAAATAATAATCAGTCAGACTAAAGGTTAGCTTTCCAGTGATCATTCTAGTGGTGGTGGTGGGGGGATTACAATCTGCTTGGAAACATAATTATAAGCAAATGAATCACTTTAAATATTGAAATCATTAGGAGTTAAATTTGATTAATATGTCCCTTGAAGTTTTCCTTACTGAAAAGAATGTCCCCTTTCCTCCCAATTTTCATTGCCAAAATGAAAGTTTTAACATTTTAACATTTAAATATTATTAAATGATAGGTTTACATTAATAGTTTCTATTGTGGGTTCAGTGAGCTTAATATTGTTATAAAATACCACCAAATTCTTTTTTTTTTTGGTTTTTCGAGACAGGCTTTCTCTGTATTGTCTTGGAGGCTGTCCTGGAACTGTAGACCAGGCTGACCTTGAACTCACAGAGATCTACCTGCCTCTGCCTCCTGAGTGCTGGGATTACAGGCGTGTGCCACCAACGCCCAGCCCACCTAATTCTTTATTAAACAACTTTTTCTTAGAAATATATTTCCATTGTTCTCTAAAACTAAATGGTTGAACCATTAGTATAACATTTAGTTTGTCATTACATTATCAAGTCAAAGTGACAAATGAGAGAATGTGTGATTTGAACATTGCATTACTATGTCCAATGTATAGAGGCACCTCCATTCAGATAACCTAGCACACATTATTTTAAAAATAGAATTTTTATTCTTCTACAGAAGAAGGTATAGGGAGGGTTCCTTTTGTTCCTTACCTGTATGCACACATGTTCCCCCACACTTGAACGGTCCCTCTGCTTCAGTTGGGGAGTCTGCGTGCACTCAGTGAACATTATCACACAGAGTCCATGGTTCAAAGTAGAGTTCATCATAGGCATTGTGCTTCTATGTAGTCTGAAAAGTAAATAGTGCCCTATATGCTCCTTTGTGGTACCACACAGAACCACTTCACAGCCTGAGGCTTCTTTGTTCAGTAAGCTCAGTTTTTAGAGGAAGCATCTTTTATTTACTAATGTACATTAAGTCACTTTATATCTTTTAATGATTTGATATGCTGCTTATTGTTTTGTCAATGTGACATAAACTAGAGTACCCTAGAAAGAGGGAACCTTGATTCACGAACTCCCTCCATCACAGGGTACTGTGAGGTACTTCTGTGAGGACACTGTTTTGATTAATGATTGATGTAGGATGGTCCAGCCCACTGTGGGAGGAGCCACCTCTGTGAAGGTTTTCCCAGGCTGTGTAAGGGAGCAGGCTGAGCAAGGCAGGAGCAGCAAGCCAGAGAGCAGCATGCACCCATGGCCTCTGCTCCAGTTTCCATCCAGAGTTCCTGCTGTAGCTTCCTTCTATAGAAACTGTGGCTTGGCAGTATTAAGATGAAATAAACCCTTTCTCCTCCCAAGTTGGTTTTGGTGAGTATTTTATCACAGCAGCAGAGAAACAAAGTAGGTCAATGGATAACTCATTTCCTTTATTATTCCATTCTTTATATGTACACCAGTTTCTTTACTTATTAGGGGAGATTGTCAGAGTCAGCTCTTTCTAGAGAAACAGGACCAACAGAATACACACACATACACACACGTACAGGAAGAGATCTATTTTAGGATATTGGCTCATGGAACTATGGAGGCTCAGAATTCTCAGTCTGGCATTTGCACGCTGGAGGTGGTGCTAGATTTCTACTGTGAGTCAGAAGGTCTGAAAACAGAACACGGTTGAAGTTCTAGTGGAAGTCAGAAGGCCTAACCACTGAAGAATGGGACTGGAATTTCCATCTAGGCTAAGGCCTCAGAGCTAGTAGTAAGTATTGGTAATAGAAACCCAAGGCCAGGTGCATGAGAAGATTCATATGGCAGCTCCAACATTAAGTCAGAAGACCAAGCTCCATTTCTCCACTATATTATTCCATCCAGTCACTCAACAGATTGGATCATGCCCACCCACCTTGGGGAGGGCAATCTGCTCTGCTCATCCTACTGATTTAAATGTTAATCTCTCCCATAAATACCATCAGAAACACATCCAGAAATAATGTTTAGTCAGAATACTGGTCCACTGAAATGACACATGGAATTTAGAGCTTGAAGTCTGCATCATGGGTATGGGATCTTCCAGTTCTCTAGAGCTCTTACCCAGAATGCACAAGGTCTTGTCTTTGATCCTTGACACTCAAAGCAAACCAAACAACAGAAATCCAAAATATTCAACTTATCACTTTGAACCCAGAAGTAAATCTTTAAGTGATACCTACCCTTCAAATAAGGATAGCAAGAAGATCATATTTCTAACTGACATTATGTAATTGGGTCTTGAATTCCCCCAACCAATATTCAGGAAAATAATTGTTTCATTGATAAATATGCACACACCTTTTCTTGCAATGATTTACTGAAGAACATTCTCATAGTTATTTACATAACATTTACATATATTAGTTGCATAAGTAATTTCTATTTTTTTTATACATAGGGAAAGACGTGCTTAGATAATGCAGATTCTATGTCTTCCGTTGTAAGAAACTGGAGCATGTGTGCATTCTGTACTGGAAGGTGGTTTTCTGGTCCTAATGTCTCACAGATACCCTTCAAATTCTGGTGTGACTGACTAAAATATTCCAATTTCATTTGAAAATACACTAAATAATTAGGCAGGAAACATGGTAAAATCCTTAAGTGGTGATTATTTTTCTCTATAATAGCCAAGAACTCAAATACTGTGCTATAAAAGTAACTACTTAAATGCTGTGTCATAAAATTAATAATACGGTGATACAAAGTCAGTAGATACTATGAATCATAATAAAAAATGAAAATGAGAAGAAAAAAATCAAGTCTTATACTTACATGGATGAACATGCATAGAAGTGAGAAAAGACCCATCACCAGTTACAGGACCACTCTCTCTGTACTCCTTCATCAAGCTAGTTGTGATTTCTTCTATTGTAGGGTGACACAACCTTCATTCCTTAAGGAGTTAGAGCATTCACAGTCCCGTAGTTCTGAGGAATTGTATTTGTCACTAAAGCTAGTCATCAGACAAAAATAGTAATGAGATTCCCTGAGATGTTCCAGATAACTTTCCTTGAAAATCACAAGTCACCCTTGTTAATACACTAACAATCTTCTTTTGATGAAGAGGAATGAAGAGCTCAAAGGAACTGAACAGTAGTTTGGGACTCTGGGGCTTCCACAGACGTATGATATTTCCTCCAGCAGAACATAAGTGAAAATAAGAAAACACAAATTTTTCTAACAGGTCACTAGTAGTGAGAGTGATGCTATCCGCATTTCCTCCACTTAACTCTTGGATCTATGAATCATTGTCCTATTGAGAAATAAATTTGGTGTAGTTTCAGAGTATATAGAGCCTTCTGAGAAGGCCTGCACTTGTTGCCACCATACCATGATACAAATGAGCACGCCCAAAGTCATTCACAGCTATCACATGGCAGTTGCTTCTTGATGGTTGTTCTGTGTCACAAGTCCATAAGTAGGTATTCTGTCAGTCCACAGATGGACTTTAGGTAAGAATACTGTACTTCAGAAAGGAAATCCATATCCAGAGTCCTGTGTGTTTCAGTAAAAACAAAACACTGCAACAAGAATGATGGAAGTTGTCTAGTGTAGTCAACTTACCACCAGGCAGCTGTCTGTCCATCCCTTCTGAAGAAATGATGCAACATCAGCAATTCAGTGTGGGTCTCTGCCACTGGACGATTGTGCCTGCAGCAACGGCTATAGCCAGGTCAGTCTAGGTGAGTAGGAATATGCCTTGTTGAACTTGTTGATTTATAACCTAACCTTACCACCACAGAAATTTTGTTCTTAATCCCACTAGTCATTGGCATTGTTTTCTGGGCAAAAA